ACTTAAGATTTCAGGATTGGATCATTATTGCATTATAGGTATAGGACAGGGGTGGCGAACGTCGGTCCTGGAGAGGCGCAGCCCTGCAGAGTTTTGCTTCAACCCTAATCAAACACACCTGAACAAGCTAATCAAGGTCTGAACGGTTACTAGGAAGCTACAGGCAGGTGAGTTTTAATTAGGGTTGGAGCTGAACTCTGCAGGGCTGCGGCTCTCCAGGACCGGAGTTCGCCACCCCTGGTATAGGATGTTGTATATTTGGTAACAATTCATTTAACCCTAACTTATGCAGTGCATACATTTTTATTTCTCAAACAGCCATGTCGGAAAATGTACCCATGTCTATTTTCCAGGATGACAATGACAAGATTCATCAGGCTTAAACTGGAAAAGAAAAAGAAAAAGTTGCACACTCAAATATTTTGTTGGACTGCCTTTAACTCTGATAAAATTGTGCTTTCATTGTGGCATTGTTTCGACAACATTATGCAAAATCACAACATTTATTTCCACCAAGAGTTGCATTAATGTTTGGCCAAGATCTTGTATTGACAATAGGAGAGTCAAATCACTCTGTAAAGTCGACTCTAACACATCCCAAAGACTTTCAATTGGTTAAGCTCAGGATTCTGTGGTGACCAATTCATACATGAAAATGTTTCCTCATGCTCACTATACCAGTATTTCCCAATTTGGGTCCAGGAATTTGTATATGGGTACGTCTTACAACATGGTTGTTTAAGAAATGAAAAGCTACGCACTACATCAGGTAGGGTTATATGAACTGTTGCAAAGCATATAACACGCCAGAAACATATTCATTACTGCAATAATGATCCAGTCCTAGACTCAATCTAGACAGTATTTGCTTATTTAAATCCAAATTATGACGTTTTTTTCTTTTCCCAGGCAGTATGTGTATATATGTATTACATTTCTAAACTTTGCATGACTGTATACTTACTGGTTGAAATATAATATTTTTCAAATACATTTGTGTGCTAAATTGTGTTTTGTGAAGATTTTCACACAGTGGTAATAGTGGTAAAATGTTGCCTATATGGCCAGTGCTGCAGTTGCAAATTTTGCCTATACGAAATGGTCTCTATCTTTAAGATCTTGATGTTTGAGATGGTGATATTATTGTGTGTTTCAGGATGTTTTTCAAGCGTGTGAATTTGCTGCTGGGAGGGTGTGTACGTCTGATGTTGAGTGGAGGGGCTCCACTGTCTGCTTCCACACAGAGATTTATGAATGTGTGTTTCTGCCCCGTTGCTGTGGGTTACGGCCTTACAGAGACATGTGGAGCGGGAACTATCTCAGAATGTTAGTGCACACAAACACACACTTACACCATGACTGATGTTTTACCTGCATGTTCAAACAGCTGGATTCCTGTGCCGACATGTTCAAACTTGTGTTTGTGTGTTGCAGTTTCTGATTACAGTACAGGACGCGTTGGAGCACCTCTCATTTGCTCTGAAATAAAACTGCGAGACTGGCCTGAGGGTAAGACACATACACACATGTGCAAACAACAACTGCAATTGAGGGTTCTCAGGTTCATTTTACATTGCTAACTTTCAACCGACCTCTCTCTCTCTCTCATCATTAGGTGGATACACCAGTCAGGACAAGCCACACCCACGAGGGGAGATTTTGATTGGTGGACCGAATGTTGCCATGGGATACTATGAGAGTGATGGGGAGGGAGAAAATGACAACTTTTGGGTGGACGAGGCGGGGCAGCGCTGGTTTTGTACCGGAGATGTCGGAGAAGTTCATCCAGACGGTTGTTTGCAGATTGTGGGTGAGTAAGGTTAGAATCATCTTACAGAGGAGGGTTACAAAAATATTATTATATCAAACACAACATGCCAATCCTCCACTTCCTATCCTGTTCTCAGATCGTAAGAAGGACCTGGTAAAGCTGCAGGCAGGTGAATATGTGTCTTTGGGGAAGGTAGAAGCTGCCCTGAAAAGCAGCCCACTCATTGATAACATCTGCGTCTATGCCAGCAGGTACACCAGAACCTTATATCCCATCTGATAGCAAAACAATTATACACAGCACAATATTCTGCAACTATAGATTAACCTGGATTATTACACGACTCTGTGGAATACTTGATTCTGATTGGTCAATCGCGCCATCCAGCGGTATGTTATTCCCAGATAACAACCGCCAAATTGAATAACACACCGCTCATGCGGGTACTACGAGTTATCTTAACCGGTACTACTTATATGATTAATGAGTCACTCCGCTATCGTTGACTGTCTGGCGCCATTTTGTGACTGAAAACACTTAACTACGGCGTGTTACAATGGAAGACTTCAGCATTAATTTCAACATATATGGTAAAAACAAATCTTTTTAGCCGTGTAATAAGCAGGATAATGTACATCCAGCCGGTTGTTATCTCAGAATAAGCCCCGACAGGTTGATCAGGACCCCGACGCGAAGCGGAGTGTTTTTTTTTAGTAATAAAAATTGTGTTTATTACTAAACACTAAAATTGTATCACTGAAAATCACCATGTCACAGTGTTGTTGGTCATGGTAGGTGTTCATACTAATGGATTTTATAACATTATTTGGCAACTGGCCATACATAGCTATTAATCTGATAACAAATGGAATGTATGATGCCATAAAAATGTTGGGGTCAGGAAGATTATTTTTGGGGGGATTAATTGCCTTTTTAAGCAAGGATTCATTAAACTGTATACAACAATAAATACATTTATAATGTTACAAAAGATTTCTGTTTTAAATAAACGCAAATAATTACATTTCTATTCATCAAAGAATCTTGAAAAAATGTATCAGGGTTTTCACAAAAAAATATTAATCAGCACAACACTGTTTTAAACATTGATAATAACCAGAATAAATTACACTTTAAAACAAATTAAAATAGAAAGCAGTTATTTTAAATTGTAATAATATTTCTTTTGAGCAGTTTTTTAAAATATATTTATTTGTGTATACATGGCTTTAAAGCTATGGACTAAAAGCCACAGAACTCATCCTCAATCTTGTCTGTTTCTAGTACAGATACCAAATCACAATATGTATTGATACAACCTAAACATATCATGCAAAGGCTCCAAGACACCATAATGCTGAATGAACACATGCCACCAGATCAGTACTAATACAGCCTTGTACTATTTCCGATCAGTGATCAGAACTACTTGATCAGCTTTGTGGTGCCCAATCAGAAGCAACTGACTGAGTTGGCAAAAAAGAACGGGGTAGAGGAAGAGTGGGAGGAGCTTTGTAACCATATCAAGATGGAGGAGGAAGTGCTAAAAGTCATCAAAGAGATTGCAGTCACAAGTAAGCACATTTTTTAAGTTATACAAACTTCTTAGTAATGTTTTGTTAATTGTTTTAGGTATCCTGGTTGGTGTTTTTAAAGCGGAATTGTGTAATGCTTTCAGTGGGTTTTTCACTGAGTTTACCTTTAAACAGTGTTGTTTATTGTAAACTACAGAGATTTGTGTGTTTGATACTCTGTGGGAAAATGGCAAAGGCATTCATTCATGTGTGTGTCTATGTATAGACTGTATATAAACTATATTCGTGTGTGTGTGGTACCGTAGGTAAACTGGAAAGGTTTGAGGTTCCACAGAAGATCTGTTTAAGTTCTGAGGCTTGGACTCCAGAAACAGGGCTGGTGACGGATGCCTTCAAACTAAAGAGGAAAGAGCTGAAAAATCATTATATAAAGGACATTGAGAGGTTATATGAGGGGGCTCAAGTGGTCCTGTCTTACTCCATACACTAGACATGAAAAAAGTATACCAATTGGGCCTATTTAATGGCAGTAAAAGATGTATGCATTGCTGTTATATTATTATTTTTTATTTTACTTATAAAAGTGCCTTGAAGCATATCTGTCATAAAAAAATTTAAACAAAAAAAATTTGCCACCTTTACTTGAAAGTGTTTTTGGGATGCAATTGGTAAATGTAAATTTTTTTTAGTTGCTCAGTGTTTTTCGTTTGTTTGCTTAATTGTTTGTTTAGAATCCATTAAACAAAATCTGATGCAGCTTATTTCTGATGGTAAGAGTGGCTATAGGCACTTAAGACCTGAGAAATAAAGCTGGGAACTCTGTAAACTTCAGAATATAATGTGGGATGAGGTTATGCTTACACATTTATGGGGAAAAAAGAAATTTGTTTGTATACCATTGTCAGGAAAGGGAGAATTTTTTTAATGATGTTTGTACATTTCATCTCTGGTTGTTCAGGTGCACATGCACAGGTGAGTTAGTTCAAGGCATCACATAATGTGCACTGTGTGTGTTATAGAACTGGGAAGTCATGTTTTTCCTGTTATGGTATATATTATATTGCATAGTATAATTTTTTTAAACTACATAACCATTTCTATGTATAAATAGTTTTCTAAACATTTATTTATTATTTGCCTAAACAAACCAAACATCCTGTTATTGCTTTTTTTATTTATTTTTTATGCCTGTGCTTGATTCTCTGTCCACCATCATTTCACAGACTTTGGACAGATTTCATTCTACAGCTTGATTTGCACATTTCAGGTGTGTTTAAGCAAGATGCAACTATATACGCTTACACTTCTTGTTTATGACTCATTTAAAAGCAGACTTTTCCTTCATCTCACCATAGGAATCAGCCTCTGTAATCTGGAGAGTTGGACATTTAACCATTTTCTGTTAGCACTGTTTCTTTCCCATGTCAAAGTCTGATCTATCTTTCTTGTTACACCTCCATTGGCAGACAAAATAAAACGGTTTTGATTGTCCTCAAATCTGGTTGACAAATATTCATCTTTCTCATTTATTTATTTGCCCTAACTTATTTGCAAATAATTTGTGATTCAGAAACTAATGTATGTTCAATTCAAATACAAACCATTATAAACACAAACAATTGTTCAGAAATTAGCCATGCAGTCCCATGATGTGGGTGTGTTTGTGTGGATGCTAGTATGTGGGTGTGTGTGGACGCGTTATAAGTGTGTTTTGGATTTCTCGAGGCTATATTTTTACTCCTGTCCGCCCACAGCACCAAACTGCCTCTTGCAGCTCCAAAACACAAACAGAACTGAGCCAGTTCTACTTGGAGCATGTTTTAATGTCTTAACCGCGGAGCTCCGGTTCGGTACCGTTCGGCGGCGGCTCTGGGCGGGTTTGCTGCTGCTGGACTCACGCTGAGGGAGGTGAGGAAGGAAATGGCGGCCGATCTTCATAAATTTCCGTGATTTTAGAAGAAATGAAATAAAATAAATAAAAGACATTTTCCTGTTTTCCTTCCGTTCGGAAGATTCATTTCCCAGAGTCGTTCATGTGTCAAGACAGTTTGAGTCATTACTTTGAATAGTGAGAATTAATGAAACACTATAATGTGCGTCGTATGAAGAAATGTAAAGTTTTAATGGGGATTTGCAGTGAGTTTTACATTGTTTTGGTCGGTTTGGGGCGGTTTTAATGACTGTTAGAGGAGCTGGAGGCCCGTTAGCATGGTAGCATGCTAGCCCGTGTTTACGGAAATCAAAAAACATTAAAAACACAATTAATACAATTTCAGACTTTACACGAATGCATAGAGATTTTGTGTGATTAATGGAGTTTATGTAATGTTTTATGGTTAGATTTCGCGTACAGTAATGCTTTTGACAGCAGATGTTTGATATTTATTATTAAAGTCATATAAATATACACACGTCTTTCACACAAACACGCATAGCCGCATTCAGTAACGTTAACTGCATCATGAGTCGTGGTTGTTATAAGTGGTTATTGTTATTACATGCAAATATGTTTTGTTTTATGCTGCAGCGTGTGTTTTTCAGTTGTGTGGGTCTGTCTGTCTACAGCAGCGTGGGGACACTTATAAACTCCAGAAGAAACAGAAGATGTTGACAAAATGATAGCAGCTCAGGACCTTCAAACAGACTTCCACCAGTAAGTACCAGACACAAACTAAACTAACTCAGTAACTTACAGTGTTGCCAGCTAATTTTCAGGGGACGTTGCTAAAGGAAGGTCCATTTGTTGCTAAAAAGTTGCTAAATGACATGTTGATGTCATTGCACGATGACATTATTACGTAATTATGATGCAAAATTACACCAAGGTAACAAATATATTTTTTGTGTTAATTTAGATTTGTTCATAAAGTAATATAGCGTAATATAATATTAAAATATAAATAACTATTTTTAAATACAACATTGAATTATTGAACACTTACGTTTTTGAACAATTACAATTAAATTTTTTTTATTAGCGAGTAAAAACTAGTAAAACTACACATTCTGAACAATTATAGTTTTAAGCAGTGTATTAGCAGTTGGTTAGTATAAAAATAGGGCACAATCTACTATGTTAATATGAAGGAATTTTCCGTATTGATTTTTCGCAGGTTTTTTTACCTGCATTTTAAATTACGCATTGCATTTTGTGTTTTAGGGTTACAGGGTTGCAATGGATAATGAATAATGGATAACGGATAATGTCCTGGAAAATAACTAGTACCTTTTCCATTTTTCTAGATAGTTTTCTTACAGTGTACTAACTGATCAACAATCACAGGTACAAGCTACTAACAAGGTGTATCATAAATGAACAATTATTCATTTATTATTAAATTAAACAATTGCAAATAGCAGCTAACTTAATTCATGTGATGTGTGTACTGCTAGGCATCTTTGGTTTCCTCATTTTATGTGATTTAGATGGAAAATGTGTGCCTTTTTATCGTTTTAGTCACAAAAGTTGTTAAAGTTGCCAAATAAATTTTAAAAATAGCAAAATTTGTTGCTAGGTGCTTTTAGAAGAAAAAGTTGCTAGGGTAGTGTGAAAAGTTGCTAAGTTTAGTAACAAAATTGCTAAGTTGGCAACACTGGTCACTCATTCTCTAGCCAGACACTGTCTGTCTCAAAACCTAGTGAGCTCTCTACCTAGACAGCATTTATGGGCATCATAGGTACAAGAAGTCCAGCCTTTTTAAAGTCCTCCCCCTTTTTAAAGTGTAAGCGATGTTTAAATACATCATTCACGCTGCAAAAATGCTTTTCATTGTGAGAATGTTGGAATCTAAATTAAGTACATTTTACTTAAATAAGAAAAAATAATCTTAATTCAAATGGAAACAAGATTATTTTTCTTACCCCATTTGCAGATAATTTGCAAAATAAGAAAAATACATTTAAAAGACTAAATAACATGTCATTTTTCTTATGTAGAAAATGCATCTTGATTTAAGAATCTTTAGATAGTTTGACTGGAAACAACAAGATTAAAAATACCAAGTAAGAAAAGCATTTTTTGCAGTGCTGGTACATTCATTCATTGGACATATTTTCATGTAGACACTGTAAAAGTGACAAAAACGACATGTCCTTTTATAGGAAAACCTGTAGATGAGGAGGCTGCATTAATTCGTAGGGAGTTACTTTTACATCGGGAGAGGATTATTTAGATTTTTTTGCCATATCTACATGCATATTTATTTGAGCGGTACCATTTTTCAATGGTAGTTTTCTATATAACATCAGGGATGCAGAGCACATTAGTAAGGCCGCTGTATGCCGAGCAGTAAGGAAAGTGTGCCTAGCTCTCACGCTCTTTATTAGAATTTTTGTGTAGTTTCCTGAGCACAAACCCATTGAAAATGAAGCTGATTACTGTATGGAATGGAAGGATGCCAGATGGAAGAGTAGTTTGAGATATATGCCGTAACCACCACCACAGCTGTTCAATTTATTTAGTCATCTTTATTTCCTACTAATACAAAAGCAACCGTTATTCCTTTTCCTGTTGGATTTTAATATTCTTCCAATACTTGGTATTGTGGCCATCCTCTTCATCTGTTCTTCATTATTTGAACCCAATTAGCTCCATTGATCATGGCTTTTCATAGTCGTGGTAAACGCGCTAAACTCAAGAGTCAACATACTCAGAGTTGATTGAACTCAATTCAGCTGTTCTGAACCCGAAAACTTTTCCCATCTCAGGGTAATTCAATTCAGAGATCAAGTTTCAACTCAGGGTTGGTTGAACCTCCTTATTGAAACGGTCCCCTGTTGAATATATACACCTGAAACACTCCACAGTCCACATACACACTGCTCTAATCACTGGTGCATTTTGTTTGTTTAGGGAAGGATACGCTCGGCTCTTGGACACCGATCTTGAAGATTTTGAGGGTCGGAATGGCAAACTTGGGAAAGGGAAGGTACCTATCAGCCAGTGAGCTTGCAGAAAGGCATTCAGTTCTTATTTATCACCCAATCAGCTTTCAGATATGCTGTAAAACAGGTATGAGAAGGGCTGCACGATTAATCAGAATAAAAACAAAATGTGTGATTTAATTAAATAAATAAATGCGTTTCAGAGTGAAGCACAGCATTATTTTTTATTTACAAATGTGCAGCTTATGAGTGTCTCTGGGTGGTTTGCAGAAATTATTGCTCTACACAAACTCATCTCTGCATGTGCTTTCAGTTTGGGTTGCTTATAATGTGCATCTTTAAACTGTCTAACTGTCTTTAAACCAGCTGTTGTCAACAAAAGAGAAGATTTAAGGGCTTTTTTTAACCAAAATAAAAGCTTAATGGTTTAAGGTTTGAAAAAAATTTAAAGAGTTGCACTATAAAATAATAATAATGATAATAAAAGTTATTATTATATTATTATTCTTACATTTACAGTGAAATATTACAATAATAATATTCCTTATTTTGTCTTTATAATAATAATAGTAATTCTCATTCAATTCTTTCAGTTTTTCCCCCCATTGTGCAGTCCTTGAATGGTACTAGCTTGTTTAATGAAATTGTCCTTGCTTTTTACTGTTTGTGTCTAGAAGGGGAAGAAGACACCTGGAGAGAAGTTGAAGGGGTCAGAGGTGAGAGGTCGGGTAAATGGCCACCATCAGGAGAACGACATGGAGAATCTCAGCTTGTTTGAGATTGTCAAATTGGGCAAGAGTGCCACACAGGTAGCAAACACACAAACAACTTAAAGTGGTCATATGATGCGATTTAAATTTTTCCTTTCTCTTTGGAGTGTTACAAGCTCTTGGTGCATAAAGAAGATCTGTAAAGTTGCAAAGACTAAAGTCTCAAATCCAAAGAGATATTCTTTATAAAAGTTAAGAGTCAGCCACGCCTACCTAAAACGGCTTGTTCTAACACGCCCCCACATGTCTGCGTCACAATGTGGGAAGATTTGCATAACGCCGCCCAAATGTTCACGCAAAGAAAGAAGGCGTAACTTTTATTCTCGCTGTAGTTTTGTTGTTGCCGCCACCATGTTGTAAAGACTCTGTGTGCTTCGTTGTGAAAGCGAAACTACTTTGTTTTGTCTTCCAAAAGAGGACGATATCTGCTTCGTCATGCCTGGAGCTGATCCGTGCTGGTTGCTGAGGAAATACTACAACTTTGCGCTGTGGATCGCCAGATCGGCTTTCACCGT